GGTTAGATCAGTTTGTTGTGGAGTTCTGGGGGTATTTTGCCCCGCACTTACTCCACGTAAGTTTCTAAAGTCTTCAGGGACCAGCCCTGAAGTGGTTGCTTTTCCGGATCGCGTTGATCCTCGTCGTCATCTGACGACGGCTTTTGGTTTGAATCTCCCATGATGGGAGATTGCGGTTTCTTAATAAACCGCTCGCTTCTTTTTAACGTCGCTGCAGATGCGACCTTGCCCTTGCGGGCGTGTTTAGGCGCCATAAGCGCTTCCGAATCAGATGTTGAGATTTTATAGTTGTGGGTTGTGTTGTAAAACACACCTCATGCACTTAAAAAAGTGTGAGGTCTTTGGGGTTGCTCAGCACACAAGCCATAAGTGATACAAGATGTGTATTTCACGGTGGTGTGTAAGCGGTTCCCGGAGGTTCCCGCTTGTCCACGTGACTATATGTATCTAGTTTACATGTGACTCGGGGTTCGGGGCTATTGCCCTGGACAGCCCGCCTACAGCGTAGCGGCGTAGCACTTGGCACCAGCAGCCCAGACGGCAGCGGGGCGGTGAGACTGTATAGTGGACACCTCACTCGGGCTTGTGTCCCTGTGTGGCTTCTTAGGCTGAAGCGGGAATGCATTATTATTAAGACGAAAAGCTAGTCTGTTAAAATTAGTAATGGTGTTGGAACCCTGTATCACTTCTGTGGTAGAGCTAGATTATGGGGCCTCAAGGGGCGCTACATTTTCCCTCTCTATCATCGATCGATCTTACCTGGTCTGCTTCGTGAATTTTCCATCGGTCCGTAGCTGACCGCACAGTGATGCATTGCCTCTTCTCCACCCGCGGATCCAAAATTACGAAGACATGCATTGCCATCCACCTAGTTGGGGACCATATCCATTCAGACCTGGTGTGCACGTACGTCTGGGAAGCTTCAGGCTTATTCTGGTTTATCCGTGCAGCACACTACCATGGACAAGAGATTATAATTTGTAATGTTTATGTCATGATAACTAGCTTCTACTTTGTTTGTGCGATTGGATACACATAGGGGCTTCGCGTCTACTTCGGCAAGGGTTCGCCTCAGGTGGGGGTATTTGAATGGCCAGAATACCCGGTGGAAAGGACCGAGTCTGCAGCAGACTGTTGGATGGAGGCAGGCAAATAGTTCAACATGTCCCCGCTTCATTTCGACCTCGGAGTTGTTCCCACAAGACCATCCCCATCACCAGCGGGCTAAACAAATCTACATATGGGCTGGTTCCTATACGCACCTCATCAACGGCGTTTGCCACCGCTGTACTCCACTGACTAGCCTTATCTAGATAATTCCAGTATTCCCTGAATCTGGCACCGTATTCCAGGGTTTCTCCTTCTTGAGGCTTCGTCGCTGGGTGGCCATAGTCAAATGAACGAATGACATTGTAGGTGTACCCGCATATTTGATTGGCTAGCGCGAAATAGGAACGCGAAATCGGTAGTGAGGAGATGTTGGTATGGTTGGGGAAGCCAGTGATGTGCTTGTGTAAGGTCGTATTTAGCATAACGACGCTCTTGAATACGTTCGGCATCCCTTGGGCGAAGAAAGGATTCGTGCCTAAGGGAGAGCTCACCGTCAGTACATAGTTATGTGGCCACTATGGAAGTGGGTATCGTACACATGGCGGAATCTCCGATGGCTACGAAATTGTTGGGGGTAGGCGCCGATAAATAGTCAATGTAACACGAGGGACGCTTTAAAAAAAATTAAGGATATTGCCACAACATTGGACCACCCGAATACACACTATTTTAGAAGAAAGGATTTGGATCTTGTCATCCACTTGACTTTCTCGGAGAAGGTCAAATAGGGCATAAACCCAAAGAGAAATATCCTTCAGCGACGGCTTGAGCTTGAATAATTTCTCATGCGTGTCACGAACAGTTAGGTCGAGCTGAGCAAGATTGCTGGGTGGCGTCACATCACCCAAAGCGCCGTAACTGATAAGCACTAAAAATAGGAAAGTATGTTTATGTCAAGTACGAATATAGAGATAGAGACACACATTCATTATCCAGAACCTTCTGGATGATGATCCCTTCCTTTGGACCTCCGCTGCCCGCTTCATCAGGACGAGGGGCTTGGGCGTATAACGTTTTCAGTCCGGCCCAATTTCCACAGTTGGGGTCATTCCGTGGTACTAGGCCAGCAATTCGGTGCTTCAACTTCTCGTCCTTCACGGGAACATAAAAGCACCTGTACATGGCGTCCAGAGCATAGGAACGGCGAGTATATGGGCCCCAGCGTTGCGCCACCGCAGCTGCTGTGGAACGAGCCTCTAGGTGATTGCTAGTCGCTCGGGGAAGCAATTTCGATGCTATTGCACTTCCTCCACTGCAATCCGCAAAAAACACGCAGGGCATTGTGACAGTTTCGGCTGATCCCATCGAAGGTCTGTAGGACACGGCAGAGATAGAAGCCGAAGATGGCACGGAAGCATGCAAACTGGTAACGGTTCCTTGTATAGCCTCCAAAGAATCCCCTGCGTAAGAGGCAGCAAGTTCGCGGAGGACCCTTTCCACTCTAACATCAACGAAGATTACTAACTTCAGGAGACCCAGGGTAATCAACTTGATCACTCACATGACCCTCTGATACTCACACCCAGGGAGTGCTGCCGTGGGCCAGCAGTTCCAGGACGTACCCAATATCCACCTTCGGAAGCAAGGATGAACTGGACAGCCCATCTTTGCGGCCACCTCATCAAAATTCGAATAGAGTGCTCGACAGATGATAACCATCAGTGGAAACGCGACATGGCAGTGACCACGCTGAGCAACACGCGTTGCAGTTCTCTCGATTCGGTAATCCGGCTCAATGATAACAATGCGTGCAAAGTAATCGGACAGAACGCGAGCAGTTGCATATCCTGCAATGCTGGGAAATGATAAAGACACGACAAGGGACTGTAACAAGGTAGGAACTTCTCTCAAAGTGGGACTTACCTTCCTCCAGCCACCACTGCTGTTCCTTGAAGCTTCTTCCCATCGCGTTTGGGACGGAGAAGCCTGAGCTGAGGGATAACCGTCGTCGTGTTGATGATGTAATTACGATGCGCCGACCATGCAAGCACGAATACGATGCAGAGAGAACAAGCAAATAATAACATGCCTGGTAACCTTGAAAAACATTGGCGATTGGGACTTGCTGTGGATTTATGGGCAGAGTCATGGCTAAACTCTTCGTCGTCTGGAAGCATTCCACGCATGATGTGTATCCGCATCCGTCCGGCTCATGAGAAGATGGATCAAACTCGAATTTCTTCTAGTAAACTAGGGGGGCTCGCCAAAGACGATCTGTTTATGGTTATCCCCAAGAGACCGTACCAAAGATGTTCCAGGCGTTGCGCTATATGTTCCCCAGGTAATGAGGGGATACTCGAGTACCCGACGACCCACGTTTTATATCCAGGTTATCGTGCTATGCATTTCCTTGGTTTCCTACTTTGGACAACCCATGAAAGGAACACATCTCATTTGCTTCTGCATCAGTGGAAGAAGCATGTGGAGACGAGTGTTTACCAGATCATGATATCAGAGTTGATTATAAGAAACGGGCAGTTCGGAAGATGGCATTTCAGGAACAACCATTTCTCCCGTGAACAATCAATCAGGAAAAAGGGAAAGGCATGGCGAGGACCAGTTGATCGCAAGGCGACACGATACAGTCTAATGGGTTAGTCCGCCTCTCGGGCAACCTCTGAGCATGAAGGTGAGCAAAGCAGTGAAAAGGTTCATTTTAGAGTTTGACCGCATGAACATACAGCATCACTCATTTCCCTATTCGACGGGCCTTTCAACTGGAGCGAAAAAAATACCGAATCAGTCTTCTTCACAGGTCCGACTTGTCAGAGGGCCTAACTGAACAGGAGACTGAGCGCCGAAATCCGTCGCGGCGGAACTTTCCGGCAAATCATCGATCATCGAATTGCGGTCGCGGATGTTCTTTCCCCTCTTCTTTTGTGCGCCATGGGCACGCTACATCATTTAATTATGTGTCACCCAACAACTGGTTAGTTTTCACCAACACCCTTCACTACACTGTAGCATTCGATTTAAAGAATGGGCATTGCACTTTGCACGGACATTTACTAGTCCCCTGAAGTTCACGCTGGCACAATTTTTCATTCTTACCGACAGATTCCCGATGGAGGCTAAAATTAGGGTGCCGCGGTTCTCACCGGGACCGAACCGTGAACCGGAGTTCGGAACTTAGTTCTCTAAGTCGGGGGGTTATTGCAAACGGGTTCGAACCGAACCGAACCGAACCACCGAAGGATTAATTGCACCATGTTGATCGATATTGCGCACACATTCATAAAGCATTTTTGTTCACGGCTTCAGAGATCAAGGTAGTCCTGGCAAATTTTAGGCAAATCCTACCAATGGGGACCTGAAAGCGGATTCCATACGGATTAAAAATTACATTACTCGGTTAGTGGTGCAGGAACTCTTCCGCCGGACCGGGACCGAACCGAACCGGGCCCTAGCCAAAATAGATTTGAGCGAATCCACTATCCAAAATACAGGTGGGAAATGAGGCAAAAAAGAAGGCACGAAGAAGAACGGGTAAAGATGGTGGCTTGAAGTGGGGGGAAAGCATAAAGTGAGCCGGAAAGATCCGTCGCGTATGTACACGCAACGATATCTCTTCATTTTTGGCGTTATCCCAATCTTGCACCAAGGCAAGGCACTCTTGATCGAGAGTTATGCATAATGTACTTTCTGGGAGCGGAGTTATGGCGGGTCAGTGCATCCAGAGTTTAGAATATTTCCAAAAAGTAGAAGGCCACTAGGTTTACTTACATATATTCCATGCTTCAAATTCATCTTTGTCTATTGCCACTGCTTCACTGATTTTTAATCGGGCTTACACTATGGTGCAATATGCGCACAGATTATGGAGGGTAGGAAATGTGACCATATCAAGCATGGAAAGTTGCACTCTCTTATAGGTATCCTTTGCCAATATGCGCAATACTCAGTATATATAATCAATATCGATAATAAGTGTTCATTGGGCTGAAATAATGCAGGCAGGTTCTTGCGAAGCATGGCGAGCACTCTAGCAAATCTCAAATTAAAGTAACCGATCGTCGCAAGCCTTTTTGATTCCGTGCGGAAGGTGTTAAAGGTAATTCTATCATTTACTTATCGGAGGAGTTACTATCCTTCCCGGCCCCTTCCCTGCCATCCTTCCCTTCCTTTGCCGTCCCATTGAGCTGTGCCTTCCCTTTCTTCCCTGCCGAGTTGGTCTTCTCATTCGTCGCACCACCCGGTGCATCCTCGAGCTCGGCAACACCATTTTGGGCTTTGTTCTCAACTAACTTTTCTAACGCGATCACACTCCTAACAAGAGCACTCAAGTATATCACCAATAGTTGGTCGTTTGTGTTTGTTGTGAAGGCTGATGTGAGTGAGGTGTTGTCGAGGTCGGGCAGGAGATTGAGTGCGTCTTGGAGGTGGTAAATAACTTGATGGTTGACAGGGAGGGGATTTGGTGAAAGTGATGAAACAGATGTAGAGGGTGAAGTAGAATTGAATGGGGTTACGGTGGACTGGGAGTTAGCTACCGCATGGAGGTAATCGCGAATTTCGGATATACGCGAGGTGAGTCCACGAAGTGAGGAGAGTTGTTCCGCGACGCGAGTGGTGAGAGTTGTGGTAGTGCTGTGTTTGATGTCGCGTAAGAGATGCTCTACACCAATTTCCTCTGCTTCTTCTGCTTCGATAGCGGAGGGGACATGGAAGAACGTTTTCCGGGTTTCGGTACCGTCCTTTTTTCGTTGAAAGTTGACATGTGAGAAAAGATTAGTGGAATGATGTGACCACGTACGTCTTTAATCTCTTCGACGGCAAAGTAGGCGTTGGTTGGAATGCCAACTTCCTGTTGACGAACATCCACGATGACCATCACTGGTCGAGGGATGAATCGCTTGAAGAGGTCATTAATCTCTTGGTCCGACCCTCGTAGCTTCGGCCCGGTATGATACCACCCGATCATTCTTTCTCTAGCTTTTATCATAGAATATGCTCAACAGAGACCGTACCCAATTTAGCAAAGAGAACCGCCTACCATTCACTTTCTTGAACATCTGCCACATCCCCTCGATATAATTATGGTCCAAAAACCAAGTCTTACTGTCCTTCTCATCTTCCTCGAAGGGAATAGCGAAAGAGTTGGCGACATTTACAGTCTTCCCATGATCTTGCCCCAAAAGAACGCCAATGACACGCTTATTTGGCGCGCGTGCGGCTGCACGCGCGTGGTGGTCTGCAACAGACAACAGCACCAATGGGTGAACGACTGTGGAGATTCAACGGAGTTCCCCATGAGATAGTGACCGGCGTGTTGTTTTGGCACAATAACAGAGTCAACAAACAAGCGGGTGTTCGAAATTTAGTTCTTGGAGGAGGTTGATGACATGCAACACGTACTAACTGTCGTGCTGCCAAGATCGGTGAGCTATATGGAATACTTATCAGCAAAGCTTTTTAGGATACGTTTTTGTCGAATATAGAACATCCCCTACAGACCTGCTGCGTTGATGTTGCTGGCATGTTTCACTGTGATTCAGCTTTAGGGCGTTCCTGGAGGCTTGAGTGGGTGGTTGCGCGACGCGCAAGTCCTATTCGGGAGATTCCGATTCCCACGCTCTTTGAATCGGCTCAACAGTCACTCTCTGGAGACAGCAGTGAACGGCCGCGCCGTATCGAAAGGTGCGAATGAAGACCAAAGGAGAAGGGGGGGAAGCGGGGAATGAGATGTGATTTTTCCTTCCCTTAAATCTGACGAGTCTGCTGTTACTCGATTGCTTACCTAATATGTGGCCACAGAGATTTCTCCGTGGTGGCTCGAGAGTACTCTCTGGGGCTCCCATTGATCATGAGTGACTGCTTTGAATAACTCCCCAGTACCTAATGAAGATGTAGGGAAGGTCTTCCCCTTTCTGTTCATGTAGTGCATTGTCCAGAGCTCTGAACGTCTGGATCGATCGTCTTCACATCTTCAGTACACTGTCGCTCCTTTTATGGGAAGAAACGCAATCCCTATGCCTCTGATGCTAAGGCGCTGCTCTTTTCTACTGGTGCTGGCCTAAACTGCACGAATGGATGTATGATTTGCTGGCGTTGCTTGTGTGAACCATCCATCCTGACCTCGCAGTGGATGACGCCCATTCCATGACGCATCTCTCGTCCAGAGCCAGCTGCCTCCGGACCCAAATTCTAAGGGGATGAATATATAATCCCGTTTATTCTGCATGGGCCCCCTTCCCTAAACTTCCATCTCTTCCTCTCGTCTGGAACGAATTTCCCATACACACTAACGGCCAGTATCCGTTGAAATAACTTCTTGAGACTCTTCGTGATGCGTTTCTTCACCGTCATCGCGTTCGCCTTTTCTCTCCCTCTCTTCATCGTTGCTTCTCCCCTGCCTCATGATGGCGGTTCTAGGTACGCTCCCCTTTATTGTCCCGTCGTCGCGCTAGGCGTTACATATCTCTGGCAAACGTAGTTATTCTGGGTCAACTGGCGAAGCTAACGGTGGGAGCGTGTCTGGCGATGGTGGGATTCATCTCGTCAAACTTCTCTCTCACAATGGTGCGCAAGGACGCGTATCCTTAGGGAAATAACCCATTTCTGATCCTCGCGTTAGCCCAAAATGGTGGAAAATCCTCGACGGGCCTTTCATCGGCCGGACCGGGTGGCAATGAGTATGTGACATTTCTCATGTTCCTCAACGTGGTGGACCGCATCTTCTCTGTGGAAGCTGCTTTCCGTCTTGTATTTTACGCGCCGTGACGCGTCTCGCCCTCCCTCGCGGACTAGATTTATCTTTGCCGATGCTCATCCTCATCGTTTCGTTTCCCATCAGTCTTGTTACTAACCGTAAGAGTGGAAAGCATGGAACAAGCAGCGGCTTTACGGGTGGCTCTGCTTACAGCGGTACACCCGGTCAGTCCACGACCACTCGATAACCAACTCTCCTCACCGTCTTACTACTCTAGGTCCTTCTGGAGGAGGAAATGCACAGACCGATAAATCTATCTCCGTTCTGGACGTCCTTTCTGATAACGCTGCCCCTGGAGGCGAATCCACCTCTGGGCCTGCTCGCGGTGGGAGTGCTGGAAACCAGATTTGAGCTTAGGGCAAGCCACGTCTTACTTTTGTTTCCTTCCTATCACACTTCGATACGGATCAAGAATTTTCGTCTTCTGGTTTCATCAAACTGCATGTGTATCTTCTTTCCGACGAGATGGACGTGATGGACTTGTGCGCATTGGCTTTACACATACACACTCATACATTCACCTGTACACCTACATACACACTCTGCATTGGTACATTGTCGGCATTCTTGTTCATCTTAGAGAGATTTCAATATAAGTACCGTTGGGCACGAGCAGCACTCGACAGTATACCAAGTGCAGTTAATCCGTCGGCTGTGCCATGGCTAAGCAGAACAGAGCCAGGGTCCAGCCCAGACTTCGTTTCATAAACCGAACCAATGGACGTCGAGATCATCGGAGTAGAGCCACTTTCCAGTTTAAAGCCAACTGATCAAGGGCGCGAGGCAGGCGCAGGGATTGCGGACGACGCACGAATGGAAGTTGGGCCTTAAGCGAAGAGCGGGTATTGATAATAATTTCGTCACTACCAGGAACAACCATCCTCACGTACATACATAAGTTATCTTCGCGGAAGTACTACAGTTTCTACCATTCGGTCGAAATCGACGGTTCGTTATGTGAAGTTCATCAACAATGTTCTAACTCGACGAAGTGCCCATTCTTTCCGTCCCAAACGGCCTCTGCTGTCCCTAGAGCGAACGATGGGCTATCGTCGTCATTCCCCTCCGAATCCAGGTACACAGGGTTCGACGAGTCGGGTGAGAAATGGCTTGATCTGAATTTGTTAGGCATGGCGACGAGGAAGGTTACTTCTAGCTTGTCCCGGTCTGAAACGGGGATGGAGGGTGATGGATTGGAGTGGGTAGGATGTCGTAATGTCTCTGGGAGCGAAGAATGAGGACGCGTCAGTGGGGAGCTTGAAAGGTAGCTTCGTCATTAGGCTGGGGTACGCCGCTGTGAGGCCGTGAATGCGAATGGCCACTCGTCCGGCGGATACTATCCTCGCGATAATGGCTAGTAGGTGGGAAGGGGAAGGACAAATTTGCCAAATGTCGCGTTAGGGTACAATGGGACAAAGGAACGGATTTACGAACCTGGGCGTCATGAAGCGTTGTACAGAGCATGGATGTATGCGAACATCCAGAGGCGAGGGGTCTGTGGCTCGACGATACTCCTTCTTCCAGACTAGTCTCATCTGAACTCAATGGGTATGGCCATCTGGGAGATGATGATCACACCGGCATAAGGATGCATGGATCATGGGTTCATCCCGGAAAGTCATGTTTTCTGAGCTGACCTTACTCCCAGTTTCAGCGTTTCCCTCCGGAGAAAAAGATGGAAAGATATTATCATTAACCCCAACGGTCTTATGTAGCTTTCTGTTCAAAGGGGTAATGGAAACCTTCCTTTCATGCATGACATGAAGCGAACGATCCTGATCGACACGGATGGGTCTAGCCAGTGCCTGACCGCGAGAGCCCTCTCTTCATATACAAACGTCATTGAAGCCGGGCTGAACTCGGACCTCGAAAGTGGATGCCCGGATATTCAAAACATAGTGGCTAGTTCCCTCCTTTCGAGGCAAACAAGGTTACTTATATAAGCTCGGATATGAAAATTAATCGTTGATGATCCGCGAATGTCATATGATGGGCAAGCCAAGCGGGGATTTGGAACTCGGATTGGGAGGAGAGATTGCCTGGCCCCCCTCTCATACGCTGCGCGATGATGCATTGGACAGATCGGTTGAAGTACTAGTACCGTTTTTTTTTGCACGTCGCGCGCCGCGTCCACGAGGTGGGTTTTTTTTGCACCCGTGACTTCGTGACAGTACTGCTTTCCCTACGACTGGCGTACAGTCCAGGCTGGTCAGCACAGAGTGAGTATGCGGCATCCGATTGTACATAGTCCTCGTGTTGGAAATGCGAGTCACCGGAGATATCCGGGACGCATGTGGAGGATTTTACTAAGCGCGCAGTCCGCACAAGAATTGCCCTACGTAGATTTCCTCTTTATTCATTCCTTTGTATATACTAGAAGGGCCGCTTTCGCAGCCACGACCTTGCTTGAACCCATGGCAGCAAAGGGAACAGGGATTTTCTTGTAACGTAGGAATTCCGTATAAGCAATCCGCTACCTCAGCGGTAACACTCGTGAGACCAGATGTAAGCTAAGGTAAAATCTGATGATTTTTGTCAACGCCGTCTGTGCGTATTTATATACAATGTAAATCTATTGCGGAGCGGCCTGTTAAGGTAACTCCTGTGCGACTACGGAATTAGTAATTCCCTCCACATAGTCCTCCACATAAACTGTTGAAGTTAGCAGTCCAACGCCACAGGCGGTCAGGGGCGGTAATCCACCCGGTACGTCACAGCCGGATTGGAGGAGCTCGGACCGGACAAATTGAGCTTTGGGAGAGGCGTCGGGGCGCTCCTGCAACTTGGTACTGACCACAAAGCGTCCAGTTACCTTTGTAGTTCATTTCCTTTTGTCTCTCGTGTATCACTGTTGCCACTCACGCATGTATTTAAGGGCGAAGCCTGCAGATGCGGATACCCAACTAATCGACGGTATCCGACATCTCAGGCAAGTCCACCATCGTTGTATTTACAATACTACCTAACTAATTGACAGTATCGACATCTCATAAACACTGGCTGTGTCCGGTCCTCGTGACTCGTGATTACAACATTTCAGGGAAGAGTCGTGCTCATTTCTACTTTAGTAGAGGCTGGGAACCTGCCTAGTGCTCATTAGGGATGTTCACGGCGCTCACAACTCAGCCAAAACTAAGTCACAAGAGTGCCAAAACTCACCACCGATGTGTGACAGTTTTCAGAGTCTTTTGTGTAAGTTTTGAGCATGGTGAAAGGGTGTTCACAGCAACAAGTCCAAAACACTGT